CAAAGTTATCATTTGCAGGAAAATGGATACAACTGTGGATGATCACATTCAGATGATCACATTAAGGGAGCTAAGTCAGTCTCAGAAAGACAAATATGTTTCTCTTGTTTGTGATTCCTAGATTTGATATAAATATATAAAATCGTGTATGTATGTATGACATGGAAATAGACGCTAAACCATCTAACAGGACTAAGAAGACTAGATGAGAAGGGAGAGGGGAGAGGAGCAGGGTATGGGGGGACATGCTCAATGTACAGTACATACTTGTATGAAAATGTCTGTATGCAATACAGCATCATGTAAAATAAATACAAACAAATGACAAAAAATTAAATGCTGGGTATGGTGGTGCACGCCTTTAACCCCAGCACTTGGGAAGCAGAGGAAGGCAGATCTCTGTGAGACTGAGGCCAGCCTGGTCTACATAGTGAGGTCCAGGGAGACCTTGTCTCCAAAACAAATACATAATAAAAAGAACTCTGAGGATGATAGCAGTGATTGTGGCACAACAGTATAAATGCACTTAACACTGACTAGTACATTCAAAATACTGGCTAATTTTGTATAATTTTTCATACTTAAAAAAAACTTCATTCGGGCTGGAGAGATGGCTCAGCAGTTAAGAACACTGGTTGTTCTTGCAGAAGACCCGGGTTCGAATTCCAGCCCATATGGCAGCTAACAACTGTTCATAACTCCAGTTCCGGGGATCCGATAGCCTCTTCTGACCTCTGCAGGCATTGCATGACACAGGTGCACTTACCTACATGCAGGCAATACACGCATACACATAAAAGTAATAAATAAAATATTTTTTAAAAAACACTTCATTTAAAAAACCCACTAATTTTAAAACTGTCTGAGGCACACCTGGTACCATATACAGGTAATCCCAGCACTCAGCAGGCTGAACAAGGGGATAGAGAGCTTGATGCCAGCCTGGGTTACATAGCAAGACCCTACCTCAAAACAGAATAAAACAAAATGACCAAATGATTGTCTGGACATGAAGTCTCAGATTGGAAGAATTCTAGAATGTTGTCTAGGTCCTGGCTTCCCATCCAGCTCAAGCTTCCTGAGCTGTGATCCTAATAAGCTGTTCTCAGTCCTTGGTGGTAGGGAGCTCATGGATGAAGGCAGGTTGGCTTGTCTTGAATAATTCAGACTTTTGACTAGAGGGCTGGTTCTCCTGGACATGAGCTGCAATTTCCCTTCTAGCTCCTCCTACTAACCCCAATTCCACACCTCAGGGTCAATCTAAATTCTCTCTTACACATATTACATATTCAGTAAATAGCCATAAGGCACATACCAATTCCCACAGCCTGATCTTCCAAGACTTCTCTTTTCCAAGTAAATGCTCTAGAATCTGACTTTTGGTTCACATTGTGTTATGATTTGTATGTATCGACCTGATCTTTCTTTGCTATGTCCCCATTTCTCCATTTTGGAATGGGAATGCTTGCTCTGTGCCACTGTGTGTTGGAACTATGAGGACTGTTTTTTTATTTCATAAGGGCTCACAGTTAAGAGATTACCTTGAGTCTCAGAAGAAACTTTGAATTTTTGAGCAGTTAGAATTGAGTCAATGGGAACTTTTGAAATTGGGCCGAGTGCATATTACATTGAGAGATGGTCATAAGCCCACAGAGAACAGAGGCAAAATGCTACAATTTGGATGTAAAATGTCCCCACAGGCTTGTGTGTTTGAGCACTTGGTCTCCAGCTGGCAGTGCTGTTTTGGGATCTGGGGAAACTTAAGGTCAAAGGACCTCCTGGGAAGAAGTGAGTCACAGGGGGAATGGTATATTGAGATACAGGCAAGCCTCTGCCACATAGTCCCACCACTCCCACAGAGCCACCTGTTACCAGGCCTTCCCCACCACGATGGACTATATCCCCTCAGACCATGAGCCAAAATAAACCTTGCCTCCCTTAAATTGTTTCTTGTCAGGCATCTGGTCACAGCCATGAGGAAAGTAACATACATTTGACATTATTTAAAATCCTCTCAGCATCTGATAGCTCTTTTGAAATGAGCAATTTGCTGTTATTTTTATTCTAGAATGTATTTAGAAATTAAATACTACTGTAATTGTTGTCCCTGATTTGGGAGGGAAAAAAAGAGGACTCCAGTCAGGCTTCTTAGGCTGAGGACACAGCAATGTCAGAACAGGCTTGGGAAGGAGAGGTTTCAGGGCCTAATAACATATTATGGAAAGTGAGATTTTTTTTTTCCTTCAAATACAAGATAAAAGATACCAGGGACCCAATCTTTGGGTCTTTTTTGTCTGTACAGGGTGCATGTATGTGTGCTTGTGGAGACCAGAGATCAAACCTGGTGTCATTTCTCAGGCGCCATTTACCTTGGGGTTATTTTGGTGGTGGTGGTGGTTTGGGGTTTTTGTTGTTTTGGTTTGGGGTGTTTTTTCTTTTTCTTTTATAGACTCAGCCTCCCTATAGTGCCTTCTGGCCTGGAACTCACCATGTAGCTGGGATTAAAGGCATGCACCACCATGCTGGGCCCGCATCTTTTTTGTTGTTTTTGTTTTTTCAGTTTTTTTGAGACAGGATCTCCCTGTAGCCAAAGCTGGCCTGGAACTCACTATGAAGACCAGGCTCACCTCTATCTCACAGAGATCTATCTGCCTGCCTCTGCCTCCCCAAGTGCTGGGATTAAAGGAGTGTGTGCACCACCATGCCTGGCTTCACCTTGTTTTTTTTAGATAGGATCTGTCATTGGTCTGGAGCTCTCCAAGTAGGCTAGTCTGGCTGACCAGTGAGCCCCAGAAATCTGTCTCTACCTCCCTAATGCTAGGATTATAAGTGCATGCTACCACATTCAACTTTATGCATTTATTTATTCATTTTATGTGTGTGTACTTGAGTCTATGTATGTGTACCACATGCGTGCAGTGCCCATGGAAGCCAGAAGAGGGCACCGGATCTCCTGGAGCTGGAGTTACAGGCAGTTTGAGCCTCCCACTGTAGCCATCTCTCCAATCTTCACATCTTTTTTACATGGTGCTCTGGGAATTGAAAGATCTCCTGGAGCTGGAGTTACAGGCAGTTTGAGCCTCCCACTGTAGGTTCTGGGAACTGAACCAGGGTTTTCTGGAAGAGCAGCAAGTGCTCCTAACCACTGAGCCATCTCTCCAATCTTCACATCTTTTTTACATGGTGCTCTGGGAATTGAACTCAGATCTTCATGCTTGCACAGTAAGAACTTTATAGAATGAGCTATCTCCCCACCCCCCTAAGCCCTAGGTTTTAAGGATGGATGGATCCAATTCCAATTAACCTTGACCCTGAGTCACAATTGATTCTATCTTACCAGAACCACATAAGCCTTTATTCCAGTTTCTTCCTAATGAAAACTCTTACTCATGTGGCATAGGCTGGGACTTTGCCACTCTATAAATACACATAACGTATGATTTCCTCCTTTGACTCTGGAACCTAAATAAACAGATTATGTTCCCAAAATTCCATAAAACCATAATTCAGTGGCCATGGCACTCCTAAAGAATTTCGTTCTAAATATAGAGAGGTATTCCTCTATAGAAAATATCCCAGCAACTGGGGCCTAATATATAATTAAATCCTCTAGATACTTTGCAGTTATGTTTTATGGCTTATTTTGAGTGTTCATATTTTATCAGAAAATTATAATTTTCCTCTAAAATAGGAGTTTTTACAAGGCTTTTGAATTATGATGGCTGGCTGCATGTTTCAGCTATAATTAAAGCAGTGAAAGAAACAGTGGAACCCTGCAGCATGCATGGCTCTGAAGAGTGCATGGTCCTGTTTATCCCCTGTATCCTCGGGACTTGGGCCACACTGACCAACAGTGAGGACCCCATTTGTGACCACTGTTGGGATAGCTTGCTTGAGACAGGAAGAGAGTGACATGGGGGAGGAGGAGGGGGGAGGTGATTGTAGACTCCTCTGTATGCTTCTTGGCTCTTTCAATGGCTCATCCTCGGAGAAGCCCCCTGACCACGTCACCCCCAAACCCAATCTTTGTATCGTTTATTTTTTCATAAACCACCTACGATATCTATTTGTCAGCCTATGAGCGTACTCTCTGCTCTCCACTCTGTCAGCCTCACAAGGGCCAAAGTCTTTCTTATTCAATGCTGCATAACCAGCTCCCTGAACCTTATATGAGCTTGCTAGGGAGACCATAGCAAAATATCTCAGACCAAAGAACTCACACACTGACATGCATTTTGTCACAGTTCTGGAAGCTAGAAGTGTGAGGTCAGGGTTGGTACCCAGACCTACTTGGCTTGAATATGATCCTCTCTGCCCCCAATCATATTGGATTAGGGCTCACAGTGATGGAGTTCTAGAGTTAGGATTTTAATATGTGAAGTTTTGTGAGACACAATTCAGGCCATAATATACCTATTAGACATTCAACAGATGTTTGTTGATTGACAAAAAAAAAACAAAACAATGAGTGCTAGACTATAGAAACATGTCAGGCAAGCCTTTGGCAGCACCCTGCTGAGGTGCTTCTAAATGATACTTGGTTGTTCACCAGCTCCTTCTTTCCATACCCACACCCCAAGGATCTGTATATATGTCTGTCAGCTCTGAGCCAAACACAACCAATCTAATCACCCCAAATTCCTTGCCACAAAAACTATATGTGAACCACAACTATAGAAGGCCATCCTGATCGTCTTCAGATGGCCTCAGCAAGGAGCCTCAGGGCACATGGAGGCTGCTGGGTTGTTTCAGTGATGCCCACAATGATGCTCACACTGCAACAGGGCAGATCCTGACCAGCAGATCTGTCCCCTCAGGTCTCAGCTGTGGGTCTTAGATCCTTGCCCATGAGCATTATGTTTTTTTCTGTATCCTTGCAAGAGAAATCTAAGTTTGGATTACTGATGGACTTTAATGAGGATGTTTATTATGAACTTGAATTGCCTCTAAGGTGGTTTTAGCTCCCAGGGTCCTAACCCTCCTTTGTTGCTTTCTATCAGGCATCAGGTTTGGAGCCCAAGCTGGTAGCGGACAGCATCCTGTTGTTACGTGACAAAAGATGGGAAGAAGTCAGAGGTGTCCTGACTTCTGCATTCAGTCCTGAAAGGCTGAATGAGGTAAGAGAGAGGAAGCGCAGATCTCTTCCTTTAAGGAGCAGGCTTCTCTAGGAACTGTGGTGGAGTGTGGAGCCCACCAGGTGCAAGGCTTGCCCAGGGGGCACATCAAAGTGTCCCACCCCCCGGGGCCCTCAGCCTGTCGATTATATAGAAAGCAGAGTGTCTTCCATTTCTCTGGCTTCCCACATGCCCTGGTGCCATAAATCAATGGTGAGTCAACAGTGCACACTGCATGGCTGGCTATGTCCCCAGACACTGCTTGAGGCACTTTGAGAAACCCAGGAGAAAAGTGGCATCGTGTTTCTTACTTCCATGTATAATGGATCACCTGGGGAGATGGGTCAAAGGCAGATGCCCATCCAGGAGGTCTGGGATGGATGCCTGAGCTTGTGAACTTCACCTGCTGGGTGAGGCTGTTTTCTGAATGGTGACCCACTTTAGAAAGTGGGGAACAGGCGAAACAAAGGCAGGAGCCCAGTCTTAGGTGCTGGCTGTGGGTGATGGGGGGGAGGAAGGGGATGCCATGTCTGTTTTAGAATGATAGGGCTCATTGAACTTGGCTGTCTTTGGTTCAACAAATGAAAGTTCTTACTTTAATCTGAAGAGGTTCATGGTCCTGACTCAATTACATGAATCTTGCAAAATCTCCCCAAAATGAAATGGCTCCAAGCTTCTTACTATCCAATTTGACTCACTCAGAAACCAGTGGGTCTGCCCATTTCCAGTAAGGTTTTCAGTGCATTACCACAAGTAGCCTTTGATCTGTTTGCTACACTAGCTCACACTTACACAGCTAAGTGTGACATTTAACCTTAGCATTTCCCTATCAGGTAGATACGGTTACTCTTGACATCCACAGTTTACAGAGGTGGAAACTGAGGCCCGGAGACACTAAGTTAAATGTTCCAGTCACACAGCTCCACAAGCAGCACAGCCAGGACAAGAATCTAGCCCCCGAATCCTCTTCACATGTGTGTGACCGACTCTGACCTATGTGGGATTTTCTAATGGTGTCCCGGGGTGGGAGAGGAAAGTAGAGCCCATGGGCCTCTGTGGAAAGCTGAGGCATCAGAAACCACACTTCTGTTTGGAACCAGCTAACATATAGAAATAGATTTCAGGTAGAGGAAATACACTCTTCTTTCTTTTTATTTACCTTAAGTTGTGTGAAAAACAGAACTCCATTCTGACCAGGTGGCTTGCAATTCCTCAGTCAGAATGAGACAACTGACGCTCTACTAGAGGGTGGCAGGTCCCACCAGGGCTGGTCCACACATGCTCAGTTTCTTCTTCTCAGGCTCAGTGTGATAAAGGAGAGTATAAGAACAGGAGAGAGCCATTGGTCCTTGGTTACCCGTACCCATGGCACTCACCCGAGGAGTTTAGAAGCCGTGATTGCCTGGGTCCCACTTAGAAACTTGGATTAAGTTGAATTAGTGTCAGGGGAAACCTGGATTTGGAGAGAATTTTAAGCTTCCCATGTGATTTTTTTTTAAAGATAGGTTCTCACTATGTAGCCCTGGCTGTCCTGGAACTTGCTCTATAGACCAGGTTAGCCTCAAACTCACAGAGATCTGCCTGCTTCTGCCTCTCAAGTGTTGGTATTAAAGGCATGAGCCACCATGCCTGAGTTTCCCCATGTGGTTCTAATATAAAGCCAGCATTGAGTTCAGCCTTAGAACACCTGCCTGTCATGCACAAGATGCTGGATTCAAACTGTGGCACCCTAAAATTAATATATAAAGGTAGCATTGAAAATCACCACTATTAGAAGTTCCCCACAAGGAAACTGGGTAGAGAAACCATCCTACTTCCACTGGGGGCAAATAATTTAGCCCCACATTTATCTGTGGTATCTACTGGGGTTTCAGAGAAGAATCTGGTTGCAGGAAGGGCCTGCTTTAATTTTTAAAAAATTTTATGTGTATGAGTGTTTTGCCTGCATGTGTGTAAGAGCACCTGTTTTGTGCAATGCCCGCAGAGGCCGGAAGAGAACACTGTATCCCCTGGAACTGGAGTTATAGGTGGTTGTTAGCTGCCATGTGGGTGCTGGGAACCAAACGCAGATCCTCTGCAAGAGCAGCCAGTGCTCTTAATCTCTCCAGCCCCAGAAAGGCCTACATTTAGAAATTGTAAACCACTATCTTAAGCCACCTGGATAAGCTACATGGAGTATTTGCCTTTATCACACCCCACCTCTGAAATTTTGAGGGAACCAGCGAAGGTAGGGAAAGGTAGATAAACCTCTGGCTGACATTAACCACTCAAACATGGGGTTGCATAGTTCTACATTCATGAGTAAGTGATGACATCACAGTACTGTGGCTGTATAAAACCCTCACTGTGTGTTACACTAGCTGTTTCGTTAAGACAAAATTGATGGAGTTTCAGGAAAAAAAGAAAGTGGAAGGGGGGGAGAGGGG